ACCATTCGTTCAAATTTATATATATATATATATATACTAGCTGTACCCGCGGGCTTTGCCCCGCTTAACTTCATAAGTATTCGCATGGCTCAATCACGTCCTGGTTGAAGTTCGTTTGCTACGCTCCTTCAGGTTGGAAATCGTTCGCTGCGCTCACTTGTGTTCAGGTTGATGTTCGTTCGCTACGCTCACTCACCTTTTGGTTGCAAATTAGCTGTTGTCATACATTTAAAAAAAGTCATCCCTTTTATTGTTTATAATACACAGTACTTTTTTAACGGTTTTTATGTTTTAATATTTAACATTGGAGAATTTAAACGTTGTTAAGTGCACAGTTGTGCTTCGATTGGGGTTTAATACATTTGGACTTATTCAAAAGTAAAATAGTTTTCTGTGCTGCAGTCTGTAGAAACACTGTGGCACTATTTCAAATCATGACTAATGCTAATACAGAATGTTGTTGTTATTCAAACGTACAAAACAGTTGGTGAAAGTAAACATCTGCTTTTAAATTATATTTATTTGTAAACATTCTAGATCAAAAAGTCTGACAGTGGCCCACACACTATTTTAGTGACAAAAGATCTGTCTATTATATTTTATTTAGTTTATAATCACAGCTTGTAGCCTATGTTTTTTGGAATAAACTATATTCATTCATTCATTCATTCATTCATTCACTTAAAACCCTCTGGGGCAGAGCCCTTTTGACGGATCTGCACCAAATTTCACTCGAACCATCCTTGAAAGATGCTTAATAATGTCTTAAAGTTTCATTACAATCTGTCGAGGGGGTAAAAATTGGGTTTTCTCACTTTTGACCCTCAAAACACAAAATTTCCCAATTTTTCTCTAAACCTTCTTAAAGAGCTTAAAAAAACCAACAATTCAGTATATCAAAGTGTTTTTGTACGGTTATTGGTTACGGAGAAAACTAAAAAAATGGTAAATTTAAAATTCCCATGTTATTCTTATGGAGAATATTGTAAAATGTTGTAGTTTGCTTGTTTATCTTTTGATCTAACTTGGCAAATATATTCATTTTATACTAAGCAATGATTATTTTACTTAAAACACACACTTTATTACATTCCTTGTAGCAGCAAACCTAGGTACTCGTAAAACCTAATGTTATTTAAATAGATCAATTGAAAATCAATTCAGCCAAATGGAAATTCGCTTAGACGGCAGGTTTGCTGCGGCGGGGGTATTTTATATTATCAGCAAGTTTCGTTGGTTAGGTTAGGTTATGACAGTTTAAATTTATAATACTAAATTTTAAAATTGATTTTATAATTAAATACCCCCGCCGCAGCAAACCTGCCGACTAAGCGAATTTCCATTTGTCTGAATTGATTTTTAATTACATCTATTTAAATAACATTAGGTTTAACGAGTACCTAGGTTACTTATACCTATCAACCTACCTAGGGTACCTATCAAGGAAACTACTGTGGGGGTTTTTAGTAAAATACTAATAGCTTAGTGTAAAATAAATAATTTGCCAAGTTTTATCAAAATATATCCATAAACAAGCAAACTACAAAATTTTACAATATTCTCCATAAGAATAACATTGGAATTTTAAATTTATAATTTTTTGTATCTTCTCCGTTACTAATAACAGTGCAAAAACACTTTGATATACTAAATTGTTTGTTTTTTTTAAGCTCTTTAAAAAGGTCTAGAGAGAAATTGGGAAATTTTGTGTTTTGAGGGTCAAAAATTAGAAAAACCATTTTTTACCCCATAAAACCCCCCGTAAAACCCCGTTCCCATGTTTCGACCATGCTGGTTCCCGAACTGTTCCAAGTTTATCCTGCTTTACACCTTAGAACCAAATTTCATCAAAATCGGACAAAAATTACTCAAGTTATCACGTTCACGGACGTATATATACAGGGTGTCCCGGAACTCTCTACCAATATTTTAGGGCATTGTTCCTGGGTAAGAAACATATCTAAATATCATATTTAAATTGTCCGGAAGTCCTTAGTTACTCAGATAGCCTCCATTTTGTTTTTTTCACTTATTAATTTTTTTCTGAAAATTGGTTAAACATACGAAGTTGAAACTTTGCACAAACATTTATGACAACTAGACAAAGCTACAAAAAAAACTATGACGATTTTTCAAATTCATAAAACAAAATGGCGGCTGTTTAAAATTTTGTTTCTTAAATTTCTCGAAAACCGTTGATTTTACAAAAATTGTACAAGAATAACTTTTTTAAGGCAATTTTATTAAAAATCGATCGACACCTTAATCTTTAAGATCGGACGAGTATTAACTGAGATATGGCAGTTTTAGTGATACGTGACCGCCGGATATTAGTTGCAGCGCATGCTGAAAGCGGTCACGTATCACTAAAACTGCCATATCTCAGTTAATACTCGTCCGATCTTAAAGATTAAGGTGTCGATCGATTTTTAATAAAATTGCCTTAAAAAAGTTATTCTTGTAAAATTTTTGTAAAATCAACGGTTTTCGAGAAGTTTAAGAAACAAAATTTTAATCAGCCGCCATTTTGTTTTATGAATTTGAAAAATCGTCATAATTCTTTTGTAGCTTTGTCTAGTTGTCAAAATGTTTGTGCAAAGTTTCAACTTCGTATGTTTAACCAATCTTCAGAAAAAAATTAATAAGTGAAAAAAACAAAATGGCAGCTATCTGAGTAAATAAGGACTTCCGGACAATTTAAATATGATATTTAGATATGTTTCTTACCCAGGAACAATGCCCTAAAATATTGGTAGAGAGTTTCGGGACACCCTGTATATATATATAAAATATACATATATAAAAATTTGAATGAATGGTGTTTTTGACCTCTGGGGACATCAAAATGAAAAAGTTAATCGGTCCCGGTCCCGGGCCTAGGTCTTACCGTGCCACCTACGGTAATAGCATAGATAAAACATACTCCTCAAGGAGTATGTTTTATCTATGGTAATAGCTACTTCCCTATAGGGAAATTCGCTAAAATTATAAGTAAACATTCATTTCATTTTTATCTTATATATTTTTTATATTATCAGCAAGTATAGGTTTAGGTATTAGGTTATGACGGTTTAATTTTATAATTAAAAAGTTAATTTTATAACTAAAAATTATAAAATTAACTTAATTTAAATTTTTCAACTTAGCGGTTCTAGTGGCGAACGCGGACACTATGTTTCCCTCCCGTGTGCCCCACCGCACCAAGACGTGAGCATCCAAGTCCAAAAAGGATCGACTTAAAACTAATTGAAATATGACTGATTTTTTGTTGTAAAATTAGGCAAGCCTCCCTTCTACCCCATTTTACAACAAAAAACTAACATTTCAGTTATTTCAGATTTTCCAAAATAAAAATAAAAAATCCACCACCTCGGGTGTATGTTGGTGGTGGGCAAGGCAAGTGGTGGGCTGTCGGGCTGTCTCCGACAACTCCATTGATTGCAATATAAGTTTATTTATTTATTTTACGAGCGACACATTTTATAGTGTTTTCTGTTGTTTGGTTAACTTTCTTATTTCATTTCAATTTAAAATCAAATGCCGCCAGTACGACAAAGAACTGTGAATGGCTGGAGGGAACGCAAACATGACCGCTTGCATCAACCTCTCAATTGAACATTTGATGGGTACATAGTGGTAGTACCACCGTTGTGATAGTCCAATCTCGGACAAATGAACGTTAAATATTTACATTGTAGTGGCTTACATATAAGACTGACCGAGACAGTTAAGTTTTTACTCTTTGTTGCCATAAATGAATGGTTCGTTTACCTCATTTGTGCAATTCACCTTACATTTAGGTTCTTATTAGAAACTCCAAATCTGAAAAAAAGGACAGTGAGACTTATATCCAGAAATTATTTGGATAAGGTTTGTCAATTCAATTCTGCCTTTACCATGATCAGCTCCGAAGCTCATTAAGATGAGAAAGTTCCACAGGGGATCTATAATTTTAAGATCCGGGACACGTTTTACCACCGAGTGAGTCCTCTAATTCCTCAAGAAGGCGATGATCCTGAATACGCACAGATATATAAGTAAGTACGAGAATGTCACTAGAACCCAAAGGAGAATTAAGCACAATTCAAACAAAAAATGCAATGAAAAAATATGCGGGAAATAGCGTCACAATGCCAACCCATTTGCAAATCTTTGAAGACTGTGGCAGACATTATGTAGGGACGAGAGCTCCGAGGAGTCAAGTGAGATTCTTATGTACATAATAAGAGACAGAAGAAGTGTCTTCCCTCACTACAATGGCGCTACCTGTGTAGATGTCGCAGCAATTTTTAAAGCTGAAAACAAAGCACCACCTGGCCAAATAAATCGTATAGTTTTTTCCAACACTAATAATGTTAAACCCGAATCCATTCTAGATCTGTCGTTAGATCCACTTGCTTACCCTCTTATGTTCCCAACCGGAGACTTGGGTTGAGGCCCCTAATTTAAACACGCCTAAAACAGAACACATCAAAGAAATAATTTAACAATGCTAGAATAAGAGTAGCAATGGTTAGCGTCAAGAGAGGAATTGAGCTACACATTAGGTCAAAAGCTCACTTTGTGGTTGACATCTACGTGCTCATAGAGTGCACCCGCCTACTATACATAAGAGATAACCAAATCAGTATGAGAGTAAATGTAAATTTAAATATTGTAGATTACTTTTATATTTTTAACATTATAATATTTTTATATTTCTATAATCAGTCATATAAATTATTTTAGAGTGACTCTTTGATTAAGGTCTTGCTGTTTATGTTTTTTGTTTATTTTTTTAATACAAGTTTCAGTTTTGCTCGATTTCGAGCAACGGGTTATCTAGTTAAAAGTAAAAACCTGTATCTTGAACAACTTTTAACATTGTTAAAATGTGAATAAAACTAGATTTATTTTTGTTAACATTGGCTTTATATTAAAATCCTTAAAACTAGAAAACAATTAAATACGTACTGTAACAAACTTAACTTTAATGATATGTTATTTGTTTGTACCTAAATTTGTCTTTTAACAATAAAATATATGAATGCAGAATATAGCCTATTTGTCATGAAAAATTGTTAAATGCAATAAAGCATAATGCTGCATATGTCTTAATTTAATAATGATAAACAAAGTAAAAAAGTCAATAATTAAAACTAGATTTATTTGAATTAAAATGCTTTATCTTAAAAAACTACCTTTAGCCACATTCACACACAGCTATTTGGCGGGCAGGCCACTTGCCTCAGGTAATTTGAAATACATTAAAGGCAAGTAACCTGCCTGCTCTACTGGCCTCGTGTAAACGCAGCTCTACAATCATTTCAATTACAGTATGAGTATAGATTTAAGAAAAACACCCTGTTTATAGAAAATAAAAAATGAAAGTGTATAAAAGAAAATTAACACTATCTTAAACAGCACAGCCAAAATCTGAATAATTTCAATACTGTGTGATTGTTATTACAGTACTTACTTTTAATAGCACCAAATGTTGCGTATAAATTAAACTTGAGTATAATATAGAACCAACAGATAAATAATACAAAGGCAAAGTATGCAACCAAAATTATGGACAATGGCTACATTCACACTTAAGACAATGAGGAATTACCCTGGTTTACAAAGAATTCAATTATGTCAATGAAAACTAAATAATTAAATACATAGTAATTATTAGAATACTAGCTGGCCCGACAGGCGTTGTCCTGTCCTAATGTGGTTTTATGTCAAATGCTTGTACATTTTCAAAATGAGCTCGTTTGCATCGCTCAATCACGTCCTGGTTGAAGTTTGTTTGCTACGCTCATTCAACCTTTGGCTTGGAGCTCGTTCGTTGCCTCACTCGCCTCCAGGTTAAAGTGAGTGAGCTAATGTAAAGGCAATTTTTTTTGGAATTTTTAAATTCTAAATAATAAATAACAGTTGGATGGATTAATAATTTCCTTACATAAAAACCTTCCCCTGGCACTAAGGAACACAACAAAAAAAGACTCATCCAATTCGTGCACTCCTTCGCGAGTTATGGAATACTATCAAAAAAGGGATTAATTTTTATTTATAGGCCTATAGATAAAGTATTAACCCTTCCCGGACAGGCAAAATCGTGACATAGAACTGGAAAAAATTATAAGAAAAAATAAAAATTAATTTTCCTTATTTGTGTTTTGTTATACAAGTATACATAAAATAAACACAATGGAACACTTCATACTGTCAAAATAATTTTGTACTAGTTTTTATCTATGCGGATATATCCGCTACCCGTCCACGGATGAGTAGAAAAGCAGCGGATATATCCGCCAACTGTCTTTGAAGATATGACCATGACAACGTTAGGCAATAAATAAAGAACAATATGTTTAAACAATCAATAAAGACAACGTAATGTTGAGCGTGAAACGTCGAGGGAAGACTGTAGGAGAGGTGGGGGGTGCGCGGGAGAGGGGTAGGCGGGAGAGAGCTCAGCCATTGAGAGAGCAGGAAGTGGCGCTTTGGTACCACGAAACATCTGGTTACTGCTCAAGCACCTGCCAGTCTGTCTGAAGAAAAGGCGGATATATCTGCTTCCCGTCCGGAACATCAATAACTATAAGCGGATATATCCGCCACCCGTCCTTTATTGCCAAAGACTTAGGCGGATATATCCGTCATCCGTCCGGGAAGGGTTCAGCGGCAAATAACAACTAAACACAAATTTTCAGTTTTTCGGTCTCCTTGGAACATTAATTGTTTCATTTCAAGTTATGTTCAGGTAAGAGTAATGCACTATTATCTAACCTGCTTAATTGACAAGTACATAATACAATTTGTTCTTAATCAAATATTACAATTATGTATATTTTGATTGCATTAGTAGTGATAGAGTACCTGTAGCTCAGTACATGCAGCATACGGGGGCCTATATCAATGCTATGTACAATGCTATAAGTATGCATAGATTATTCCAACACAAGTAAACTTCTCATCCCATTGTAAATGATGAAGCTCGTTTTTGTGCATAGTTCATGTTGGTGACGCTGATCGCTACAGTGCACTGGGCGGAACTAACAATAAAATTGTATTTAACTGATCCATTTGGATGAGAAATTTACCAACGCAGTATTGCGGTCTATAGTCCATGTTACACGCTTGAACTCTAACATTTTACTGGTTATCTTCATGTTCAACTAGCAAATCAACGGTTCTAGTTTTTCAATTACAGCTGGCATCAACGGTCGTCTTTTCTTCTCATACAAACACAAGTCGGAAAGTTCAAACATCTGTTGAACGACGTGTTGAGGCCAGTTTCCTGCTCTATTGTCTACTAGTTCATTTCTATTATCAGCGTCGTCCACATGAGTTATCTGAAATACATTTCTGTAATCAGTTGTGTAAATAAAATACATAATAGACAAGCTTACTCAACAAAATTTTAACCTAGAATAATTGATAACTGTTTATTAAATGATAATCTTTTCCTTGTAAAATATTAATCTAACTTTATGGTTCAACTTTTTTACTTTACTGCATTACTTACGAGGTCATGACCTTCTCTGTTTTCATCATAAGGAGGCAGGCCTGTCAATAGCTCCAATAAGACCTGAAAAGCAACAATACTTTTAAATGCCTTTTTAAGTACAGTATTATTAAGTAGCCCTGGTTCGGTATTAAATACACCTTTTGCTTCAGCAACTATTATTTTTGATCCGTCAGAGTAATAAACGGTAAGGTGTCGATTAATGTAATTATTATATTAATTAACATGAAACAAGTGTGGATTTTGTAAATTAATAAATAAGTAAAACATAATTTGCTGATTTGTTGAGAGCTTATAGGGTTCACTTTAAATTAGATTCTTATTCTTATTCTTAGAAATTCTTATTCTTATTCTTATTCTAGAGGGTTGCCCGTTTGACAAAAGTCTTGAGGTTTTGATAGTTTGTAACTGGATCTAGTTGTCAATATTAGGCATCTAATAAATGCTAGTAGTTGGCCTCCGGGTATATCAAAACTAATAAGTAAATTGGTACTGGGTCCATCGAGTTTTGTTTCTATAATCAATTCAGGTGTTTTTCTGTTTTCTAAAGCAGATTTAAATAACCTTATTATCTGCTTCTGTGTCCTCAATGGCCAAGAATAGTAAACTACTAATATTTGTGGACAAGTAACTCACCACCCCGAAGCTGAAAACATCCATCTTGACGGACACATCTCCTCTGTAGGCCTCGGGAGCCATGTATGCCGATGTGCCAATGACGTTTGTAGTAATGGCCGCTGTCTGGGTGTGGTTGGCGTTAGAGCCCATCCGGACCAGGCCAAAATCACCTAACTGAACCAGCAAACTATAATTAGGACTTGCGGCCCACAACAAAGATCCTAAAGATCAAAATTTTTCCAATTTTTCAGGATCTGGAATTTGATTTTGTCAACAGTTGGGAAAGTAGCTAAAACATAAGAAGAATAGTACACAAACCCCAGCCAAAGCTGGAAAATCTGAATGAAACACAAAACAGAGAACTGTATATTAGCCAAACAAAAATAAATCTTTTTAAAACAATAATTAATAATGAGATCTAGAGAACACATGTCTACACAAGATGTTGCTTTCTCGCCTGTGGACAAGATCAGATTCCAAATCACGAGACATCGTATAAAGTTTATGTATTACCATTGAGTATACACGTATAAGAGTTGTCACCGATTTTGGCGACGTAGTTCGGGCCGCTGACGCTTGAGTCGCGGTAGTCTGTCGGTAGTGCAATGCGCCTGTGAGGACATTTTAATCATTTAGTAAAAAAAATGTATTATAAAACAACGAAACTAGAAAGAAACAAATGAATTTCATCAACAAAAATGACATTTTACAGCCTTCAATGAAAGCAATAATAAAAAACCACCAAACTGCCTTACCGACAAGCCCAGGGTGGAGTAGTTCGGGCCGCTGTTGCTAGTCTGGAACAGCGCTGTTCAGGTAACGATAACCTCCATTGAGTGGCTACTCTAGCTCATGTATACTCAATGTTATTACTAATCGTGATGGAAAATCACTGCAGTGATTTCTTAAATGATAAATTCACCATTACCAAAAATTAACTTACAACAATGATAATAAGGAATTGTTGTGGTTCAATAGGTCAGATCCAAACTAATTGGGCCTGTACCCTGTTGTGATTTCTGTTTGATCGGGTTGGCCGAAAATAACGGTACAATCAAGAATAAGTCTAAATATTACTTTCTAAAACAGTACACAATTTTACATACAAAGTGTCAAAACCCATTTAATACAAGAAATTACGCAGTGGTGTATTAGTTTGTGGTTTACCTTGGGAACAAAGTTGTCGTCCAGCAGAATATTAGCGGACTTGACATCTCGGTGTACAAGGGGCCTCTCCAACACCGTGTGTAGATGACACAGACCTCGTGCAGAGCCTAGACCAATCACCAGTCTGTCACACCACTGCAGAGGCTGCCTCCCATTCTGGAACCCAACATTGTACCGTTATTGTATTTTTTTACAATGATTTTCAAATTAAACTTCATTTCCCCATTTTTGTTGTTGCTTGTGTTCTTGAATAGGTAAGACGTTTGTGTCACCCAATGCATTTCACCAGCTTGTGTGGCATCCTCAGGGGTCTTCCTGAGTTATCTTCTTATCACTGACTCCAAAGTAACTAGGCTATATATATATTTTAAGATTTTTTACAAGGTGGCCACCTAACCTAACTTAATCCTGTTTTTTTTTAACTTGTTGATTAAATGTCTTGCTGAATGGTAATCTATAAGTATAAAAGAGGATGTTTGTATATATATTTGTTTGGCAGTGATAAACTCAGACACCGCTGAACCGATTGCCACGAAACTTGGTACATACGTGTAGAATTTTATGGAATAGGTTTATACACCATCAATTTCGTGATCCGTCCAATCGGCTCCGCCCCAGTGGCTCTGGAGTTTCCCATGTTAACCTTATGAGAAATGGAATTAATGAATCTTAACAGCTGTTTCAATTAAACAAGTTGGTTCTGTTCTATGATGTTCAATAGCATTAAAGTTACAAGGATTACCAACAGGGTGCAGCACTATTATTTCTTTTACATTTATGACAACAGCTAATTTGCAACCAAAAGGTGAGTGAGCGTAGCGAACGAACTTCAACCTAGAGGCGAGTTAGCGTAGTGAACGAGCTAACCTAAAGGTGAGTGAGCGTAGCGAACGAGCTCCAACCTAAAGGTGAGTGAGCGTAGCGAACAAACTTCAACCTAAAGGTGAGTGAGCGTAGCGAACAAACTTCAACCAGGACGTGATTGAGCCATGCGAACGAAATAATCTTGAAAATTAAGAAGTTAAACGGGGCAAAGCCCGCGGGTTACAGCTAGTGTTAACTAAATAAATGAATAAAAAAATTTCAAATTTTAAATGAAATATTTTATGTTTTAAAGAAATTTTAAATAGTTTGAAAAGGTTAGGTTATTCTTTTGACTAGAGCATAGCTTGGTAATTACATCAAAAGAAGAATGCTTGTTATATATACAGGGTTAGTAAAAAGTGTGGAGACCCCCTGTTATTTTTTTAACGGCCCATACTAGAAAAACTAAACTCGGCACACCATTATGGCATGTTATTAAGTACTTTTTGGGCACAACCGCCACTTGGTGTTCATCCCCAAACTGGGAAATTTTGGGGTAAACTAAAAAATTTCAAATACAAAGACCCATCGAGTGACCCCTCATTTTGAAGGTCTTGGTAAAAGAAAACCAACAACGCAAACTAGAGGTCTCTATCTCAGCTCAGTACAAAATGGCAGCCAATTGAAATTCTCATAAGTTCCCAAACCCAAAATGGGGGATTTTGGGGCAAACTCAAAAATTTTTAATGATAAGCCCCATCGAGTGACCCCTCATTTTGAAGGCCATAATAAAAGAAAACCAACAACGCTAACTATAGGTCTCTATCTTAACACAGTAAAATATGGCAGCCAATTGAATATAAAATTGCAAGTTATTTCCAATTTCTTAAGATTTCAATCAGCTTCCATTTTTTACTGGATTGAGATAGAAACCTCTAGTTTGCGTTTTTGGTTTTCTTTTACCAGGACCTTCAAAATGAGGGATCACTTGATGGGGCTTATCATTTAAAACTTTTGAGTTTCCCCCAAAATCCCCCATTTTGGGTTTGGTAAGCAAGTGGCTATTATGCATTATACACCACAATGTTCAGCATCTACCATCTCGCCTAGATCTTCTGGAAATCTTTCTCAATGAAATAGAACCTGATGTAATAGCCCTTACTGAGCATAAGATGACAAAGGATGAACTTGGCTTAATTAATCTGTCTAATTATATAACTGCATCACATTTCTCCAGAAGTTTAGGGCGAGGTGGTGGTGTAATGATATTAACCCACAAAAATGTGAATTTTAAGTGTATTAACTTAGCTTCTGTTCAACCACTTTTAATTGAAAAAGAGTTTGAATTCTGTTTAACTGAAATCAGTACTTCCAGGCTTACATTTTTATTTGGGTGTATTTATAGATCTCCTAATTACTTAAACCTAGACCAATTTTTTGAAAATTTTGAAATTTTGTTAGACATTCTGTGTAAAAAATTTGAAACAATTATCATTGCTGGTGATTTTAATATAGACGTTTTAAAAAAAAGATGATAAATATACCAAATTTATTAATATTTTAACAATTTATGGCATGAGATACACAGTTAACTTTCCAACCCGAGTGACGGAGCACTCAAGCACAGCCCTAGACAACTTTATTACAAATATAGATTCTCATAGCTTAAGAGTAACTGGGTTAATTACTCATATCTCAGATCATGACGGTCAGTTAATGGAACTGAGAGTTCCTGATTACAAAAAACCAAAATTCATAAGAAAACAAGTAAGAAAGTTTGATGAAAGAAACAAAGAAACTTTTCTTAGAGGTTTAAGTTCAGAGTGCTGGTTTCAGGTTATTCATTCTACTGTTGAGTTTAAGTATAATGTATTTTATAATATTTTTAAGTATCATTTTGAGGTAAATTTTCCTAAACTTTTTGTCACAGAAGGCCTATGTAAGCAAAAAAAGTGGGTTGACGATGTATCAAAATTGAAACAGTCTGAAATAGTCCACTTAGAATCTCAATTCAGAAAACTCAAGGACAAAAATATTAAGATTCAGATTAAAAAAAAGAAATACCCCCGCCGCAGCAAACCTGCCGTCTAAGCGAATTTCCATTTGGCCGAATTGATTTTCAATTGATCTATTTAAATAACATTAGGTTTAACGAGTACCTAGGTTTGCTGCTACAAGGAAACTAATAAAGTAGTGTGTTTTTAGTAAAATATTTATAGCTTACTATAAAATAAATAAATTTGCCAAGTTTGATCAAAATATATCCATAAACAAGCAAACTACAACATTTTACAATATTCTCCATAAGAATAACATGGGAATTTTAAATTTACCATTTTTTTAGTTTTCTCCGTAACCAATAACCGTACAAAAACACTTTGATATACTGAATTGTTTGTTTTTTTAAGCTCTTTAAGAAGGTTTAGAGAAAAATTGGGAAATTTTGTGTTTTGAGGGTAAGAAGTGAGAAAAACCAATTTTTACCCCATAAAACCCCCCATAAAACCCTGTTCCCATAGTCCGATCATGCTGGATCGCGAACTCATTCAAGTTTATCCCGCCTTACACCTTCAAACCAAATTTCATCAAAATCGGATAAAAATTACTCAAGTTATCGTGTTCACGGACACATATATATATAAATCTATATATATATATATCTATATATATATATATATATACATATATAAAAATTTGAACGAATGGTGTTTTTGGCCTCTGGGGACATTAAAATGAAAAAGTAAATCGGTCCCGGGCCTAAGTCTTACCATGAGACCTACGGTAATAGCTACTTCCCTATAGGGAAATTCGCTAAAAAGAACTTCAAAGATATATAATTAACAATAAAAAAACTTACTTTGAGGAAAAAGTTAGAAACTCAAGAACTAAAGTTAAAACTACCTGGAACTTAATTAATTCCGAATTGGGAAAATTGTCAAAATGTAATACAAATATAAAAATGATGAACGAAGGTAGTTATATCACAAATCCAATTGATGTTTGCGAAACTTTTAATATATTTTTTGTCAATATTGTAAAAGATTTAATAGTTCCTAAAATAACCATAGTGCCTCCAGCAAATACTCAGTTTAAAACACATTTAAATACAACTTTTCAATTTTCAACTGTCACGGAGAGAGATGTTGAAAAAATAATATTATCTTTTGAAAATAAACCCTCATCTGGCAATGATGAAATACCTATATCAACCATTAAGACAGCGTTGCCATTAATCTGCTCACCTTTAACTCATATAATTAATCATTCACTGATAACAGGAGTGTTCCCCGAACAATTCAAAACTGCCAAAGTAGTTCCAATTTTCAAAAAAGGTAATCCAGAAGATATTAATTGTTACAGGCCTATATCACTGCTTCCAGTATTCTCAAAAATCTTTGAGAAAGTTGTTTTCAACCAATTTTCAAACTACCTTGAATCAAACATGTTGCTGGATAATGAACAGCATGGTTTTAGGCCAAATAAGTCAACTATAACAGCCGGTATTGAGTTTGTTGAGTCAATAATCGAATCTGTCGATAGAGGTGAAAGAGTAGTTGGCATTTTTTTGGACTTATCCCGAGCTTTTGATAGTGTTGAGCACTGCAAACTGATCCAAGTTATAAGCTCTCTAGGTGTAAAAAGTACAGAATTGGCTTGGTTTTGCTCCTACCTCACAGAAAGGAAACAATATGTAGAAATAGAGTATTTTACAGATCATCAGAAGTTTATGTATAAAGAAAAATTTGCTTCTTGTCCATTATCAATCCAATACGGTGTCCCTCAGGGATCCATTCTCGGCCCATTACTGTTTCTATGTTACCTAAAGGGGCTACCTAGAATGATGGGGGACAGAAATAGGTAAGTGTGTCTTTATGCAGATGATACCAACGTCATTGTCTCAGCCAACAATAAAGAGGACATAGAAATATCATCCTACGTTTGCTTATCACTGATTAAAGACTTTTTAAATAGTAAAAATCTGCTATTAAACTCCAGTAAATCAAGTTTTGTATCTTTTTCAACAAAAAAAGCAAAAAATAAAATAAATCCAACAATATTCCTAGAAGATGAAATACTAAATCATTTAAATGAAATCAAATTCTTAGGCTTGACTATAGATGAACACCTATCTTGGGACAACCATATTAATCATATTATGAATAAAACCTCAAGTGGTCTATATGCTTTGAGGAGACTGGTCTACTCCTGTAATATTAAAACCTTAAAATCCATATATTTTGCTCTAATACATTCACATATTGCTTATGGTGTTTGTATATATGGATCAACAACAAAGAAGAAAATGGATAAAATTCTGATTCAGCAAAAAAGAGCTTTAAGAATAATGTTTAATTTAAAATCAAAAGATTCTGTAAAACATATTTTTAAAGATTTAAAAATATTCACAGTTTACAGTTTATACATTTATGAAACAATAAAATTTACATTACTTGGCAATAGGATTTTGATTGGCAATACAACACATTCTTATAATACTAGGGCTCATCGTTTAGTAGAACAGCATAATTTGGAATTTTTCAAAAAGAAAACAACATATGTAGGAAATAGATTTTTTTATGGCCTCCCAGGAAATATTAAATTGGAAAAAAACCAAAATAAGTTTTTGAGACTATTGAAGGCATACTTGATCGAATCAACGTTTTACTCTCTCCAACATTTTTTCTCGTAGTCAAAATTATTATATTTAAGACATACACCTAAAAATTATAATTAGAAAAATATTTGCTGCACGTGGTTATTCTAGGATATAGTAATTACTGTATGTATATAATCCTTATTTTAAGTATTGCTTTTATTAATTTTTAAGACTCAGTTGTAGTTATTTTATTTTATTTTTTTCCACGATTTCTTGGAATGATGTGTGTAACGTATGTTGTATATATTATCCTAAGAACTGTGGGATGTATTTTTAGATATTAATAATATGTATAATTTAGGTTAGGTCTGACTCTATTCTTTGTAAACAATTTACATGTGACAGAATAAAGAAGTTTTGAATTGAATTGAATTGAATGCTTAAAAAGTACTTCATAACATGCCAAAAAGGTGTGTAGAGTTCAGTTTTCCTAGTGTGAGCCGCTACAAAATTTACAGGGGGTCTCCAGACTTGGAAAGCTGCACGTTAAATTCAATTTTTGAGAATTTCAATTGGCTGCCATGTTTTACTGGATTGAGATAAATACCTCTAGTTTGCGTTTTTTGGTTTTCTTTTACCAGGACCTTCAAAATGAGGGGTCACTCGGTAGGTCTTTGTATTTGAAATTTTTGAGTTTCCCCCAAAATCCCCCATTTTGGGGATGTACACCAAGTGACGGTTATGCCCAAAAAGTACTTCATAACATGCCATAAAGGTGTGCCGAGTTTAGTTTTTCTAGTATGGGCCGTTAAAAAAATAACAGGGGGTCTCCACACTTTTTACTAACCCTGTATATATATATTGTTAAATAAATTTATATTTTGTGTCCAGCCAGCTCTTGTCTTGTTATTGTTTGGTCCTCCACCTCAGCAATATTGTACCAGAATCCCACCGTTTATTTAGTGCTTCCAAGTGCTTCACCCTTTGGTCAATGGAGTTGGGACATCGGTTACACGTCTGTATCATGTTGGTGACTCAAGAGTCTATTGATTTGTACTTCAGTTTTCACTTCATCCACAAAACCGGAGTTATTAAATCTGGTTCTCTCTTGGAATTGAATCCGGCTTTGAAACAGGTGTAGCGATTCTGTTAACCATTTTTATCATTTTGGTTTTTGAGATTTTAAACATCATTTGGCCAGAGATATTTCATGTACTGTTCAAAGTGGGTACTAACTGATATAATGTACAATACAAATTACTTGTGTTTACCGTACACGCCAGTCTGTCAAGCAAGGAGCCATGCCTCATGTACTTATACGCCAGACAGAGCGCCGGGCCATCCTCCGAGTAGCCTAGCAGTGGCAGTAGGTTGGGATGGGACAACTGCGCCAGAACATCAATCTGTAAACAATGTTGCAAACATCATACATCAGTCAAAACACTTGCGGGACCATTAGAAAAACTGGTCTGGAAACTACAACAAGGTCGGTAATAAAGATGATTTGAACATAAAAAGTAGTAATGACAATAAGTCGTAAAAAATAAGGGTACAAACAGCTACTGTCCAACAAACAGATACCTTAATTCCCCTAACACATTATTGAGACAATAGCCAATGAGAATTTGTAATACATAAAACTAATATTAAACAGCTACACTACCTGTTTGAAGGAGTAGTATGTAGTCAATAAACAATTATTGTTTATTGACTACATACTACTCCTTCAAACAGGACAATAGACAATTCAATTAGGAACTTGGATGAAAATAAGAGTTAAAATTAAAACAAAAAGTTGCAATGTCTATCGAAATTCTAATTCACTTTACAATATTGTGTAAACTAGCTTTACTTGGACGGTAGACTAAGTTACCTCGTTGTGGAACTGCTGCAGAGGTTCCCAAGGTCCCCCCGTCACTGCCAGGTGTAGTCGCTTGATAGCTACCGGGCCGAGACGGGGCAGAGTGGCTTGGTACACTTGTCCCCACGCACCTCCACCCAGCAAACGTGTAGCAGCGAACCCATCAGTGACCTCCTCCAGCTGTGCATAGGGCAATTTGGTCATCTCTTTGCTGCAATACAGAAACCAACCTTCAGAGACGGTATCATTAAACTTGCCTCCAATAAAAATTGAACTTACTACTACTTTTAAGAGCAAAAAGAATTGTAAACTGGTTGCGTAAACATCTTCTTGGACAATCACAACAAAATCATGAACAAATTCAGCAATCGCAAAAGCAATGTGAATTTCAACTGAAAAAAATTTTTGCAGACGCCTTCTGTGATCGTAATAATATCACAAAAAGAAAAGCTTGGCTCAAGATGATTTTCTGATTTGATGTTCAGTCAGATAAGCTTTTAGGCTGGGTTGCACTAGTGTCAAAAACCAATGTGCTTGCACACAATTGACTTTGCCTTTCAAAATCACTTACATTCACAAACACAACTTAAATGCCAAACTGCGCAGCTGGACTAAACAACACAGATACTTAGTGACATTAAAATCGTAAAAAATAGGCTGCAAAACTAATGGTCTAAGACTGCTAGATGACTAGATACCCTGGACTAGTGCATGGCTGATTGTGCAAATTTAAACTGTAATATTTATGGATAGACCTATTTCCCGAAAGTTATACAACATATTATTACAATTTTAAGCATTAAATACTCACACGTGAGACACTAGCAGCTCTGCAGGATCCGCTGTGTGTTCAGAGGTGGTAGGTAGAGGGGAGGAGGGTGCGGGAGGAGCACTGGGAGTAAAGTCAACTCCTCCCGCGGTGATGGTAGCTGCCGGGCCCGTATGTGGCCTCGGGGGTGGGGGTACTGGAGAAAAAAAACAGTTAGTAAACCAATGTTTCAAGAACACAACGTTTGTTAAAGATGTTATAGACATATTTATAATTTAAAAAATCCTATACAGTAGTTCAGGTCTTTTAATAAACAACACAGTTTAAATTGAGCGTAATGTATGTGAATCGTACTTCAAAACTATTTCCAACCTGCAGAGTGAGGACTAAACAAATTATACTTATACACTTTTAATACTTTTTTTCTGAAATTGTGACCATCCAAAGGTAGGTATTTTAAGCCGAATATGAATGGAGATGAGTGCAGTATGATAGGATTATCGCTAAAATAATTCCTTAAATATGTCAGATTGATTGACTATAAATATTAGGTTATATGAGTACTTAGTTTTACTGCTACAGTTAAGCTAATGAGGTTTGTTATTTAGTGAAATAGTAATAAGTTTAGATGAAAAGAATAAATTAAAAAAATTTGATCAAAATAATTCCATAAACATGCAACCTACAACCGTTTAATTTTAAATAAGAACGAGATGCTAGCCCGTCCTACATACGGGAATTGAGTAGTCAGTTAAAACTGTGTACAACTCGGAACAGCTAGTTTACACGTATAAAGACAAAATATTTGCTTGCAGTTTTAATGTGAAAAATCATCTCGTAAACAAATGTTGCGTAGACAAAGATGTTTTATTCCATCATAGGCCTAACGATATACATTTTAAATCTGATAATTTTATAATAAAACAGCAATTAATTGTGACGATGTGAAAAGCGTTGAAGTGAGATTTGCGGCCGATTCGCACACTGATTATAAGTAGCCTACAGTAGAGAGTAATATTTTTGACTATTAATATAATAATTCAGAATTAATATAATAATTCAGAATTAATATAATAATTCAGTATAATATAATAATCAGTCAATGGTAATAGTCAATTGAGAAGTGTATAGACCTAGTCAACAACACCACCTTCCATCGCATTTACAGTTTTTTTTTTATTGGTATTGGGTCTAGGTCTTACTGAGTAATGAGATTAATAGCTTATTCACTATATGGGTTCGCTAAAACAGAATTGACCAGATACATTACCTAACAAAATATAAGAGTTGTCACCCTTTTTTCAGGCAAAGTATTCATACCTTCATTCTTTCTAAAGAAAGTCATTGGGCCACAGAACCAAATACACTTATAGCATTTAGAGCGACGGGCCTGTTGAACAGCAGCAAGTAAGTGGCGCCTCGCAGAGTCTATCGTTAAACGCGAGCGTCGGATAGATGGATCTTTTTCAACACACCTCAGCAAAATTTCCTCAGTGTGCAGTTGTCCAACCATTTTGACAGAAATTTTGGATATCTTGGATGTTGGATTAACCTCCAAAGAAGCATCAATCATAGGCTCTTCCATCCCCTCACTTATAGATTCATCTAACCTTCTTACGATTGACGACACATCCTGAGTTTTTAAGTTTCTAACTGAATCTTTCTTCGGGTCATCTAGCCCTGACAGAAGGTTGTATGGAACTTTATGATGGGAGACATTTCCCGCATCTGTTTTCTTCATGGACAACATTTTATGAGACAGTTTGCATACTTTTTCAGCACTTTTCAATGTCTCGAGGAAAAATGTAAGTAAGTCGCCAAAGAGCTTCTTGACTTGCTTAAAAGTTGTCTTCAACTCTTTAAGAAGTTTGTGTATGTCACTATAGTTTATCTCTTGTAAAGAGTCCATTGCCAAAGTATTTTTTTTTTTTTTTTTTTTGCTGTGGAGTATAAAAGACAACACCAGATTTTATTAGTGTCACTTAAGTATTGGATGTCCAATTTTTATCACCAATTGAAAACTTGTGATAACTGTTTCAGATAGTTTTTTTTCATTTTCAAGAGTCACAAAGTATCAGATTTTACAAAAGAGAGTAAATTTGTTACCTTTTCTGGTGGAATACAGCTTACATGAATACTAACTATCACTTTTTCAAAGCTTTTAGTTTTATGTTCACTGAATTTGTAATACGGTACAATAGTTTTCAAAATCACTAGCAGCAAATGACATACAACCTTCATAACATAACCAAACAACAATTTTTAGGAAAAAAACCCTGGTACAAGTCTGTATAGTGATAGGCATTCCATTATATTCTAAGAATATTATAGCATTCTTAATATTTCACTTAAAATTTTCTTTAACAAATTTTACAATAACCAAATTTTAATCTTCTATATTTAAAAACTAAGTAAGTATCTTATTTAATTTCATTTTCCATTAATTACTTAAGAGTCTTCGTAATATGATGTCATTAACATGACCCTACTAAACCAGGATAACCTTTGATATCTATATGTTGAGTTTATAAAAATTGAAACTGAATCTAAAACACTACTATTGTCTTTTCACTATGTGCTTGAGATTATCAATGGCAATGAAGTTTGATTTTCAAGAACACATTATAGGTATATTGTAACAATGTTCCAAAATAAGGTCAGTCAGTAGAACCAATAAAATTGGTAAAACCCTCTAGAGTCAGGTTTAATTTCAAATTTGAGATGCTAAGCCTATAGTACAAACAGTGAGAAACTAGTCCACAATCAATTTTAATTTTAAGTGTGTAAGATAAGTTCATGATGATACTAGCAGAGTACCCGTCCTTCATACGGGATTGGCATATAAGTATAAAATGCTTATTGCATTTATACTCAAGCTATGCGTTTACAGTTGGGGAGGACACAGTTTAATAAAATTTCCTTCTTTAAATTTATGGTATACTATAGTATTACACATCTACCATAGCCATAATGTTCTACCACTTCAGCTAAACAATTAGAGAAAAATAAATTGTTAAAGATAAAAAAAAGTATCACAGATTATTCATGGAATTAAAAACATAACATAAGTGTATATAATCCAACTTTGACAGTTCTCATTGCGTATTACGGTTTTTTTGTTGCTGCTTGGTTTAAATTAGCTGCTTTCAAACAGAACATAGTTGCAAAATCTACAACAGAGGCGGAGTATTGCCCCTGCAGATTGCTGTACGGAATTCATATATCTGAGAACTTTGATTGAAGAGATAATGGGAAAACAAGTAAAAGCGACTTTGTATGTGGACAACCCAAGTTCTATAAAACTAATTAAATCTGGTCAGTTAAGTTTAACAGGAAGAAGACATAATGAAATGAAATTTCATTATCTGAGTTAAAAATATCAGAACCAAGAATTTCAAATTAAATACTGCCCGACTAATGGTGAAATAGCTGATTTGTTCACAAAACCTCTCACACATTCAAACTCAAACAAATTCAGAGACATGTTGACAGTTTATAGATAAAGAGGACATTTTACCATTAAGGGGGTATGTTGAAATTGCATAGTAGGCCTACTCTATTGTGAAATGGCAAAATGTTCTGCCTCCTAGACTCTGTCAAATAGTTAATAGTTTAATATCACATAGTTTTGGTTTTGTGTTATGAAAATAAGATCTATAATGAAAATGGTTTGAATAAAAAATAAAGTTTATTACAAGTTCAGCTTTGTCCTTATTTATTATGTTAAAAGCTACAATTAAAAGTAATATAAGTAAAAGTAAAACTAAAAAAAATAACAGAAGTTTTATATACTCATGATTTAGATGTTAATGCCTATAATCAAATCTCTTTTAAAAACCAGGTAATAAATAAACGGGAATATTTGTTTTACTGAGTTAGAGACATTAGGGCTACTGAATAATTTAAAGCTTTTCAGTCATGTAATAAACTATAAATTTCAAAATTAATTGTAAATATTGTCATTCTATTACGTATTATAGCAAAGTAATAAAATATTAATGCAAATGACAACAAACAATAGGAATCAAGCGCAAAAACTCCAATGTTTAAAGTAAAATTATGATCGATAATTTTCTTTGCAATGACTGAAACTAATTAAACCACTGCGCCGATTGAACGTCAACAGTAGTTGTTGTTGTAGTGGAATTCAACCGGATTTTCATTTTACTAAAAAAAAACTAATGGTTTTAAAAACAACCGATTGACTAGTCGATAGTTTATTTCAGTGGGTTGTCTTATCACTACAAGTACAAGCGCTAGGCTGTCAGCTTGAGTCCAGACAAGGCGCAGATGCGCCGACACGGTATTATCGCGTCACTGCTGGGGAGCGCTTGCGCTAAGTTGATTCGAATGTTGCGGCGTGGTGAGATCAGTGACTATCCTCTAGTACTGAGTGACTATAAACATCTTGCTTCGGGCAGGGACGTATTTAAGTATCTGCCGCCTCTAGGCAACAAAGTTTGCCGTCGCCCCTCCCGCTCCCACTTTTCAACGCACTCCCCGACCTCACTAATATCACCCCAATGGCCAATGCATGCCCTGTCAGCTGGTTTTGTGGAAAAATAATCGGTAATATTGCATGCGGCATCAACAAATTTAATGACTTTTCACCACACTATGATGTTTTTAGCTGTTTTACATGCGTTAATTGGTGGCTGAAAGTTACGTTTTGCTGGCCATGCCAGCTGTCATCGTCATTTGGGGACCGACCTGGTTCTTACATCCCTAGGGCCGCAAAATCAGCTGATTACTTACTTTTTTAAACATGTATGCATATTAAATACACAATCAGTATCCATAGCATTGCAATAGAATTGTTTTATTGTCACCGCTGCCTAACAACTATTTATTTTAATTTTTGCTGATTCCTCAAATTATTTCTTCACATAACCTTAAAGTTCTAGTTGTGTTGACTATCAGTGTGCATCATTATTGTGGTGAATTAAGCTCGTGCTATTAAGGTATAGTGTGGAAAATGGCGTTCGTACCACGGACCGAAATGGTTTTGCAGCTCTTGATCGTTTTAGGTTGACTTCGTCTCGAACCTAAAAACTATCTCGAGCTGGCGAAACCTCATTTTCGGCCCTAGGTAAGAAATATACTATTTCGACCCCTTTTAATGGATGTTTTTTGTGCCGTTTTTTGCAAAACATTCTGACTTGGATAGGCCTATACGGAAGGCACCATTTTTTTTTA